CACACGAGGATGCATACCTGAGTGGAGCACACGAGGATGCATACCTGAGTGGAGCACACGAGGATGCATACCTGAGTCCTCGTGCATACCTAAGTGGAGCACACGAGGATGCATCGAGTGGTTCAATTATCCCAGTCAGCCTTTTTGCATCTCCGGTGCGCCTCCTGCAGATGTCGACCTCCTCCGATGAATCGCATGTCGCCAGGACCGTCAGGGGGAGGCGGAGCTGATGCCGTGCTCCGTCTTATGCCTCCATGGCCTCCTGCGATGGAGAAGCCCCCTTGCCATCATGCGAGCTTATTGAAGGTGAAGTGCCTATACTCAACTAGTGGTACAAAAAAGAACCCTCCCCGCACACACATCACGCGCCGACACAACCGGAGTGTGTGTGGTTGGCTCCCTCCTCCCGCTTGTGTGGACATGATAAGCACGAGAGGCAGCGCGTACGAGTGTCATTCAGCAAACCTCCCTCACTTGGGGTCAGACCAGGAAGCAGTTGCCGAGCTGGCCACTTCGATGTTGGCTGATGCCATGGCGCCAAGGCATCACAGACGTCAACGCTGTCGTTCTCGTTCCCGCTCAGCCGATGCCAATCGACTCGCATGAGATGGCGAATCGGGGCGTTAGAGAGCAGGTGTGGTGGTCATCCGTCGGCTCACTCAGCCGCGATTGGGCTGAGCTGATGGGCGACGACGCCCCACTTTGCATGGGCGACGCGCCTCGTTGGTGGAGCGACTGGGCTGGCGTCTCCGCCACAGAGAGTGTGAGGCTCGCGAGCACCTCCGGGAAGGCATCCTGCATGCAGCCAAGCAGAAGACAGCACATGTGTATGAATGGGCGTGTACTCACGGACGCGACCTCTCTATCACTGACTGACTGACCGGTTGGCTGCCCGTCTCGATGAACGTCCTCTTAGCCTTCCTGAATGCTTCATAAAGCCTTCGCCAGCCGCCAGTGTGGTGCTGGTCATGCGATTGGGCTGAGTTGAATGGCGCCGACGCCCCACGCAAATGGGCAAGTCATGACCTGCCTCTCTCTCTCTCTCTTCCCTCGGTCCATATAGCACCAACCACAGGGCATACAAGACCTGCTCCAGCACCCCAATCCATTTGCCCCCTCCACCACCACCACCACCACCACCACCACCAGCAGCAGCAGGTGGTGTCTGCCTGAGGTTCTTCCCGCGACTCACTGGGTGAAGCAGACTAAGCACATCTGATGGCGGAGCCCTTGCCCTGCGCCGTGCCGCTGACGGTGTGGCTGGAGAAACAGAACACAAATGAGCAATTGCAGTTCATCTGGCGACAGACCTACCCGAGGCCTGCGTGCTTGCGTCCCACAGCATCAGCCATCCTGCGAAAGGCCTCCCTTTCTTGACATACTTGAACGAAACTCCCTCATCTTCAGCCCCTTGAACAGGTCCACGGGCGGCAGATTGCCACGTCGGGCGCTCTCCAGGTGTTGCACGTGCTCGCAAAGTGTGGCTCCAGCTGGAGCACGAGGAGAGAATCACCGACCAGCGCCGCCAGCATCTCGTTCACGGCAAGGATCTGCATGACGCAATGAAGAGGAAGAGAATTGTGTCATATAGACGCCAGAGTGGTCTGTGCAGCGCATTTGTGCGGGCCGACATCTCTTCCCGCTTCTCCCTCTCACTCACTGGTCTATTTTAGGGTTTGAGATTTAGGGTTTAGTTTTGCGGAAAACTTTTACCTCCCGTACACGATGTGCAGGAGCCTATCTGTCGTCGTAAAGCCGTGCGGGTGCGCCCACTATGCCCTCCCTCTCCACCCCACATGGCCCAGGACATTGTGTCACTGAGAGAGGGGCTTAGAGCGCAGGCGGAGATCTCCGACCGTTCCGCAGGCGGAGAGGTTCAGAGCTCAGGCAGCTTTTTATGGCGCCAGAGGACGGCGATTCGACGCTTGACAAGCACGAGAGGTCCCGACGAACGTCCTCCTCCAGCGAGGATGATTCACTCGGAGTGGCGGCCGCGTCGGGGGCTGCTGATCTGTATCAGTTCTACTGCAACCGGAGACGAGGCCAACATGCCATCTATTCCATGCTCGACGAGATGGCCCACGACCACCCCCCAAAACCCGCACTCAACTGCCTCGGCAGCGACGGCAAGGTCGCCACCACTGTCACCTTTGGCGAGCTGCATGGCCGCGCCAAGACCATCGCCCACCACCTCTCAGAGACCCTCGGGCTGACAGTGGGTGACAGGGCGGTCCTGTGCTACCCGCCTGGCCACGACTTCGCTGTGGCCTTCTTCGGCTGCCTCTATGCGGGTGTGGTGGCCGTCCCCGTGTACCCACCAGACCCCAGCAAGGTCACCATCGATGTGCCGCGGCTCAGCAAGATTGCCGCCACGACGGAGGCCAAGGCCACCTTGACCAACACGACCTATCACCGGGTCGTGCAGGCGCTGGGGTGGACTTCAGCAGCGGCTTCAGATCCTTTTTGGAGATCCATTAGATGGACGACGACTGACACGATAACGAGGCGGTCCAGTGAGACGGGGCGGGCGGCATCCTTCAGCCCGCCGCCACTGCGGTGCGATGATCTCGCCTTCCTGCAGTTCACGAGTGGGTCGACGAGTCACCCCAAGGGCGTCATGGTGTCACATGGCAACCTCGTCCACAACGTCCACTTGTGCGTGTCGGTCTTCGGCTTCGATGCACGGGTCGAAGACCCCTCCTGCAGCATCAGTATTGCCGACTACCCATACCACCAGTACTCCGAGTTCTTCAGGTACACAAACCCTCGACACATACACACAGACAGACGCATCGACGTGCACACACTTTCTCTTCCCCCTCTCCCCTCATGGTGTGGTGTGGTGTGTTGTGTGTGCAGAGCTCGCGAGGCCATCTCATGGAGGGCGCTGGGCCATGAGCTGAGATGTTTCTCATGGCTCCCCGCATATCACGACATGGGTGAGTGAGTGATCAGATCAACTGAGCAACCAACAAGACAGACAGGGGCAGCAGAGCAGCCATCGGTCGGCCAGGACGTACACATAAGCCTCCGTGTGTGTTGCTTGTGTGTTGTGTATGTTGCAGGTTTGATAGGGTTTCTTTGCGCGCCTCTGTTCTTCGGGCAGACGATCTACATGATGTCGCCCCTGGACTTCATCCGCAAGCCCCACCTGTGGCTCGAGTGTATGTCCAAGTACGAGGCAACTGCATGTGCGTCGCCCAACTTCGGGTTTGAGCTCGTGACGCGGAAGATACCCGATGACGTCTGGCGGAGGCTCGACCTCAGCAAGACCGTGGGCTTCCTCTGTGGGGCTGAGCCCATCAGATACTCTACCGTCGAAAAATTCATCAAAGTAAGGGAGAGAGAGAGACAGAGAGAGAGGGGGGCAAGAGGCGCCGACACGGCAAACAGCACACTGCCGTCTGTGTCTGTCTGTCTGTCTGTCTGTGGTCTGTCTGTCGTGTATATGTCAGAAATTCGAGCCTCGAGGTCTTCGTGCCAGCGGTTTCCTGCCGGCGTTTGGGTTGGCTGAGAACACCCTCTTTGTGACGGGGCGCAAGACCTCTACGACCCTCCCTTTGGTCGTGGAGGTCAACATCGACAAGATGACCAAACAGGTGGGCACTGCACTGCACAAACATGCACACATGGTTGGACCAGCCACGCGCGGGACTCGTCCACTCGTTTGTCGTGTTTCCATACGTGTGATTAGGGCATCATTGAGGTATTTGACCATTGGCGGGGGGTGCGGGATAACGACAAGGGCGAATCGGATGGGCGCAGGCGACTTGTGGGCTGCGGCGTCCCATACCCAGGGGTCGCAGGTACAAAACGGGAAGAGCACACCGACAGACACGACCATCCTCGCCCTCATCGTATCGTGCTTGTCGCTTCCTTGCTGCCTGCGTGCCTTGTGTCTATCAGTCGTGATAGTCGATCCCGAGACTTTGCGCCCATTGCCGGAGCGCCGCGTCGGCGAGGTGTGGGTCAAGTCTGGGAGCACAGCGCAGGGGTACTTCCAGCATCACGAGCTCAGTCAAGAGACCTTCCACGCGAGGCTAGCGCCCAGGCGTGAGGGCGATGGATCTTTGGAGCTGGACGAGGAGACCGAGGGCCTCTCCTTCATGAAGACCGGCGACAGGGGATTCTTCTTCCACGAGGAGCTCTTCATCGCCGGCAGACTCAAGGACATGATCGTCATCAGAGGACGCAACTACTTCCCACAGGTACACACATGACCAACGAACGAACAACCTCATGTCGCCTACTGGCTGGGTTGCGTCTTGTCTTGTCCTGTCTTGTGCCTGCAGGATATCGAGGAGGAGATAGAGTCCCACAGCGATGCGGCCCGACCCGGCTGCACGGCCGCATTCGCCGTGGAGGTGGACGGCAGCGAGATGGTTGGCATAGCTGTGGAGGTCCGACCTGAGAAGCTCGCTGAGCGAGTGGATGCCTACATGGCGGACCCGGCGAGGGCCGACACCCCCGCGCATCGCACTTCACTGGGATGGCTCGGCAGGCGTCTGGGCCTCGGGCAAGATCGCAAGGCGAGTGAGGAGGAGGTCCTCAAAACACTCGCGCAGCACATCGGAGGCAACGTCGCCGCCAAGCTGGGCATGCCAGTGCACCGAGTGTCTTTGCTGAAGCCAAGGAGCATCGCGAAGACAACCAGCGGCAAGATCCAGCGCCAGAAGACCAAGGATTTGATCGAGAGCGGCGAGCAGGCTGGCGTCCTGCTGTCCGTCACCATGAGTGAGGTGGCGCGGTTGAAATCGGCAGCCGCACCACCCGAGACGCCAACATTTCGCAAGGAGTGGGTTGCCGAGCCCCCCGCTCCTGAGGACGCGTCTGAGAGAGTCCCCACCACCCCTTCTTCTCGGGCGGCTGTCGACTCCCCGCCTGCCCCGGACTCCCCACCGCAGCCCTCGCCAGCCGATCGCGAGGAGGTACTGCGAGTGCTGATAGAGAGCGCAGAGGCGATCCTTGGCGACGGTCGAGTGCCTGAGATCGATGCGTCCTTGCTGGAGCTGGGCGTGGACTCGATCGGCGCCGTGGAATTCACTGATCTGGTGGCAAGCCGTCTGAACATCAGGTACCTGAGTGAGACAACAGTGAGTGAGTGACACAGTAGCCTCAGAGTGCACCCATCCATCCATTCATCGATGCGTGTCTGTCTTTGTGTGTTGATTGTGTCTGTCCCACCCTCCCTCCCCCCAGCTTGGAACCATCTTTGATCTTCAATTACCCCACCCTCAGCGCCATATGTGACTATCTGGTGGAAATGCTGACTGAATCGACTGCCTTCCTCTCATCGAGGGCACTGTCCAGGGTGACCGACGCGGCTGATGCGTCATCGGTGCTCGTGGTGGGCGCCGCGTGTCGGTTGCCGGGCGACGTGGAGAGCCTTGACGACTTGTGGCGCATGGTGGTAGGAGGTCATGATGCGATAGTGGAGGTGCCGCCGACGCGATGGGATGCGGACGAGTGGTACGACCCCAATCCCGAGGGCAGGGGCGAGACCAAGATGCACATCAAGGAGGGCGGATTCATTCGGGACGCCGAGCTGTTCGACTCTTCCTTCTTCAAGATCGCCGAGAGCGAGGCGAGGACCATGGACCCCCAGCAGCGCCTCCTGCTGGAGGTCACCTTCACCGCTCTGCACCAGGCGGGCTTCGAGCGTGCAGCTCTGGTGCGGCAGCGCATCGGTGTCTTTGTGGGCAGCTGCTGCAACGAGTGGTCGTACGTCGTGGACTCCACAGCTCTGCCCGTCAGCAGCTACTCGGCCACGTCCAGTGCGCCATCGATCATCGCCAACCGGTCGTCCTACTGGCTGGGCATCCAGGGGCCCAGCCTCACACTGGACACGGCATGCTCGTCGTCCCTTGTGGCTGTCGACGTGGCCGTCAAGTACCTGCAGAAGGGCATCTGCTCAGCTGCAGTTGCCTCTGGAGTCAATCTGATGATGTCGCCCAAGGTGACGGCCGCCTTCTGCCGTGCCGGCATGATGGCGAGGAACGCACGGTGCAAGACATTCGACGCCTCGGCTGATGGATACGTCAGAGGTGAAGGCTGCGCTACCATCGTACTCAAGGCGGCAGCCGACAGTGATAGTGAGGGAGTGACGGAGAAACACGCGTTGGCGCGCATTCGTGGCTCAGCAGTCAACCATGGTGGCCGAGCTGCCAGCCTGACTGCTCCCAGCGGCCCTGCGCAGGAGCAGGTTCTCGCCGAGGCCATCGAGGATGCAGGTCCGTCCGTCATTCACAAGCGAGACAAAGGAATGAGTCATGGTGCTGCTCACACCTGTATGTATGTTTCCCTTCTGCTGGCTGGGTGCTGTTGTGTTGTTTGCTTCGTTCATTCAGGCATATCGTATGATGCGCTCGGCTACATTGAGACTCACGGGACAGGTACGAGTCTGGGCGATCCCATCGAGGTGGGCGCCATCAGAGCCGTGCTGGGCAGGGGAAGGGCCAGCGACAGACCACTGGTCATGGGCGCACTGAAGACCAACATCGGCCACTTGGAGGGAGCGGCGGGCATCGCTGGCCTGCTCAAGGTCATTCTAGTGTTGCGTAACAAGACCGCCCCGCCCAATCTCCACTTCTCGGCCCTCAACCCCCACATCGCAGTCAACGACGTCCCCATGGTCTTCCCCTCGGAGCCTG